ATATATATAACATCTGAATAAACATAGCTAATCACAGAAGTAACCTTATACAGGTTACTTGTACGTGATATAAACATAAAACACACTTGACTTAAGTATACCGCAACCAATTTATAATCAATACATACAGACATATGTCTACATATACATACACATCATATACACATGGACTTTTATAAATTATTTTGTTAATAGCGAACGTACCAGTATTATAGAATTTTGTCACTAATTGTTTATAATATCACTAAATAAATACCTATTTTGCTCACATATCCAATGTTGTAACTTTTTTCTAAAAGTATTGTATGCTGATGTTTCTTTTATATTCCGAGGTAATACTGCATACATTCTCGGCGCTAAATAGTTAGCAGACCGCTGACCGATAGTTTTATCACATCGAGGAAAGAAAATTGTATCCAATCTACGCGTGTTATAGTGATAATTGTTATTTAATATTTTAATTTTAAATTGTTTTACAAATAGAAGTATTTTTAAAAAGTATAATTGTCTTAAATCAAAAATTCCCGTCCCCTCATATAATGTGTTACTGTGACATAATATATTCTTTTTATAAATTATCCTCAAAATCCATTTTTGGACTATATTTATGTTTTTTAAGTAACAGTCATATATGCCTCCCCATCCTACAATTCCATATACTAATATGGATTGTACTAGTGAAAAGTAGAGAGTCTTTATGCACTGTATATTTAAGAAATCCCTCAAGTATCTAAATTTAGGCAAAAGCCCTCTAACTTTATGTACAAGTTGCTTTGCATGTACATCCCACCTCATATGCCTGTCAATAAATATACCTAAATATTTGACTGAGGAAGATTCAGGAATATTTTCCGTTAATCCAACGTTTAAGGGACCTAGCATCGGGAGTCCTGCATTATATGACGTAAATGGCAAATATGTCGTTTTTTTATAATTTAAAGTTAGTTTATTAAATTGAAACCATGTGGCAATTTTTGGAAAATCATTTTGTATTTTTTGCTTTAAGTTTGCCCAAGAAGTAGACGTATATGTAACCACCGTATCGTCTGCGAAACTAATAATTCTACCCGATATGTCCAATTTTAACAGACTATTTATATATAAAGTAAAAAGAATTGGCCCCAGCACAGTCCCCTGAGGAACACCACATGTCACTTCTTGTAAGCAACTTTTATGACTCCCTATCTGAACGCTTTGTTCTCTTTGTGACAAATAACTTTCAAATAAATTGTACGTTTTGCCTCTGATTCCATACTTCTCTAATTTCTGTAGTAGTTTTTTGTGGGAAACTGTGTCAAAGGCCTTAGAGAGGTCTAGAAATATACTAATAATTGGAACTTTCTTATCCAATGAATCATATATTATCGACGTTAGTTTATATATAGCATCATCAGTTGATTTTCCCTCTCTAAAGCCATATTGACACTCCGACAAAATCTTATACTTCTTTACAAAATTACAAAGTCTTACTTTTATTATTTTTTCTAATACCTTCGATATAGTAGGTAATAATGATACAGGTCGATAGTTTCCTATATCAAGTTTACAACCGTTCTTGTAGAGTGGTTTTATAATGGCACATTTTAATATTTTTGGAAAACACTCCAGATCTATACACATATTTATTAAAAATGTTAAAGGTTTAACTATCTCTTGAGCAATTTGCTTCAAAGTTTCTGCGCGTATTTGATCCGCACCTGGTGCTTTTTTTGTTTTTAAATTATTTATAACTTCTAAAATTTCCAACTCATTAGTTGGGTACATGTACATAGTGTTTTCCAAAAAGTCGGCATTATCTTTATATTTACTTATATCAGGTATCTTACTAGCTAATGTTTTCCCAATTGTACTGAAATAGTTATTAAACTGATTTGCAATTTCTGCCTTACAGGTAACTGTTGTCCCGTCATTTAGTTTAATTTCTTCAATAATAGTTTTAGATTGCTTTTGTCCACAAATGTTATTTACACAGTTCCAAAGAGCCTTCGACGTGTTTTTATTGCTTTGAATTTCTCTCAAATAATATTTTTGTTTCGTTTTCTTTATAATGTTATTAAGCCTATTTTTATAATTAGCAATAACTGGCAGCAAAGATTAGATTCATACCTGGTTTCGGAAGAAGATGACGTCGGCTTTCTTTCACCTGGCGGGGAATCTTCGCAGTCTCAGGATGGCGTTGAGGATGTTGAGCAGCGCCATCACTTCCTTGTGGGGGAGCTTTCTGAGTATTCGGTTTCCGATGTGGTCGCATCCGGTTACTTTGCGGGGGTTAAGGCGCCGCAGGATGTCCCTTACCTCTTCGGGTGTCGCCGGCTTGATGTCGTCCCTGTCGGGTTGGCGTTGTCGTAACGCCGTACGCGTCGTTCCATCTCATCGGCGTGGTCCTCGTCTTCGTCGTCGAATCGGAGGCATAGGCTTCCGGGTGGTTCTCAGCGCCCGTTGCATCGTCCCTCAGTGTCTCCAGTTGTTGTTGCCACGAGTCCTGGTAGTGCTCCTCTAGGTCCGCTTTTACTCTCCGGTTTAGCTGATTTAACGTCTGCTTATCCCGAGGGCGTGCTGTCCTCGTGGCTCTTCTTTTCGCCGCACGTCTTTCCCTGATTAGGTCTTGCAACATAAGAGGTAACTCACCTGCATAATTCGCTATCCTCCTCTCCGTCGTCTCCGTGGTGCTGGCTTCCAAGGCGGTATGGATATCCGTCTCAAGGCTCGCGAGAGTAGCCTCGAGGTCCGCCGTGTCGCGGACAACCGGAATGGGTGCGCATATTCATTGCATTTCTGCGCGGAATAGGCCCCAGTCGATCCGCCGCTTGGCAACGGTGTCCTCGCCGCGACGCTCGTCTCCTAGAGTTAGGAGAATAGGAGGATGAGGGGGTCGGAAATCTCGACATAGTGCCCTCCTCCCCGGCACCCGAATCTGTAAAATAAATTCCAGCGGTCTCTCTGCCTAGGCTGAGATAACGTCGGTCGTTAGTAGAAATTTTGGAATATAAAATTGCCGGATAATGGCAGAATATTACTGGTCTTGTAAAAGACAGATTATGTGGGGCTTCCACTTCATAGTTCCTCGCACTGACACAAACTACGTCCGCACAGTTCGGCTGCTCGCTTGGAACTCAACTCCGGAGAGTCCGGAGCTGCGCGGAGCTTTAATTTATAGGAGTCGTGACGTAGAAAAGGAGCGTGGCTTCTGAATAAAACCAAACGTCGCCGGACTCCGATTCCACGACAACGCGTGTCGCCGTGACGTCACTCCAAGACAGCGGTGGGCGGAGCCTAGCTCTACGGCACCAGACCGTATAAAAGAGCAGGGATTCTGGCCACCGCAGCTCATTTGCATCTCAGCCTCCACGCGCGACGCATCGCACTCACATAAAAGAATTCGCAAAGTCTCGCACCGTTCTTACCTGTTAACTCTTAATTCCTGGTTTAATTTAAATCCGTTCCTTTGTCCTAAACCTACTAAACACCAGAACTAATAAAAAAATAAATAGGATAAAAAAATATATAAATAAATAAAAATTAAAATAAAATAAAACATATACAGGGTGAACAAAAGAGCCAATAAGAAAAAATAATAATAATAAAAGGAAAGAGAAATAGTTAAAATAAATAAGTTACAAAAAAGAAAAAATATAAAAACAGGAAAAAATAAATAATAAAAAAATAAGCCCTGAAAAGAAAAGTAGAAATAAAAATTGGACAAACCATAGTTGAAAAAATAATAAATACAAATAAAAGCAAACAACAAACAAAACCACTTCTTTGGCTACCGACATGGAGGACTTCCCCGCAGTTCTGGGCTTCCCGGAGGGCCTGAGAAGGAGACACGCTGTCGTGTAATATGATCTGAAGTGCCTAATTGTTGAGAATTGTGGGGTGATTCGGTAACCTGGGCTCGTCGCGGACACGTCGAAGCAGAGCTTCGAGCCCCACGTCGAGCGCCATGTCGTGAATTATGATTGGAAGTATTGGTTTCCTCGACCTGATGGTCGAGCCCCACGTCGAGCGCCGTGTCGGATTAGACTTTCTAGAAATGGACCACTTAGGCGGTGATCGAATGTTCGGGGGAAATCACGAGAGTGGACGGGCGATGTACCAGAATTCCTTAGATGAAAAGAGTCGTCTACGTCACCTACGACATAGTCGGCTAAGGAGTTTTCGCATGCTATAGCACCCGAACGTGATGCGCATTGCTCCCGCTGAGTATCTTGTGGATGACACACTTCGTGGTAACTCTTGCGTGCTACTCGTCTCCGTGAGTGCGTCGTGAGGGGTGGTCGAGGTGATATCAGTAACCCGCGTAGCAGCGAACCTCAACGCATACGGCGCTGTGGCTGCGCCGTGCCGCGTACTTCCGCGAGCTACCACCTTCGGTCCCTCAGACTCTTCACGCAGCATCGAGATAGCGTTGGGGAAGGAGGCCATTTCCTCTTTCACCCGGAGTGTCGGGAGATCTTTCGCCGGCAAACAGGTGTGAGGGCAGTCCGTGTAACCGCTGGTCTCTCTGGATGGGGACGAGGTCTCGTCCAGCTCAGTCTTGGTCTTAGAATCACGATCTGATTTATTAGTTGTACCTTCGAGGGCACCAATCCTCGCAGCACTGGATGTCGCGTCGCAGGGATACATCTTACCCCGTACGACAATGTCGGAGCAAGCTCTTTTGCTCCGAAAGTCTTGTAGAAACACTGATTCTACTTAAAAGTGGGTCTCTCGGGGGAGCCCTAAGAAGCAAGGACAACTTCTGTTAAATTTTGAGTATGCCGCCGCAATGCCGTGCGTACTATAGCTTTAGACTCGTAGGTCGGAAAGATAATGTCTCGTAGGCGTTTGACGAGGAAGGTTGCCTCGACGAGTGACCGCCTAGAGATTTGACGAGGAAAGTTGCCTCAGATTTGCAGATCTCGATAGAGTCTGAATGATAGGACTTGTAGGAGCCTATGTGTGTACCGCCGTTCCGAGGTGCGGGTCTCTCGATGGAGCCGGCACAATCGGAGACAGGGTCTTCGTCGGAGATGCTCAGTCTCGGACGGTATCGCAGGTCTCTAAAGGAGCCTAGAGTTTACCGCTATTTCGATGCAGGAGGCTATCGAACAGGGTCTTCACCTCAGGTTGGGCTACCTCGGACGGTACGCAGGTCTCTATAGGAGCCTGGAGTTTATCGTTGTCCGATGCAGGAGGCTATCGGACAGGATCTTCGTCGGAGATGGTCAGTCTCGGTCGGTATCGCAGGTCTCTAAAGGAGCCTGGTGTATCGCTGTTTCGATGCAGAGGGCTATCGAACAGGATCTTCGTCGGAGGTGGTCAGTCTCGGACGGTATATCTCGTGAAGCGAGTAGTGGTTGCTAAGCACTATAAATTGCCTCGTCAAGGTATGGCAGCCTTGATGGAAGCGTCGTGAAACGAGCCTGTGAGCTTGAGCTCCAAAAGTTCTTGAGTTTGATGCCAGGGTTTTCACAATCAAACCGTGGAAGATATGTTAAAAGATTTATTGAACAGAATTAACAGACAATAAGTGCTCTTAATTAACATATACAAGACATTTACCATAGAATATTATTTGTTACATATTGCTCTGTGTGGCTTCAGTCGCGTTATGCACTCCCACTAATGAACTGCAGATGTCGGAAGTAGACGTTCGATCGCTTTCCTCTGATCTCCATACTTTTGGCGTAACATTCGTGAATCGTCCGCCAAAATCTCCAGCAAGAAGCACCCTTCGTCGCCGTCGACGTCGGATCTAGTTCCCCGCTGGCCTCTCCGGATAGTTGATGTCGGCATCGGGGATTTTGGAGTTTTCTCCCATTTTGAGAAAACTCTACCCTCGGTCTCGGCTTAGGCTACTGATCATCGCATCCAACTGCCAGAGCGGTGAGACCCTCGGAAGACAGTGCTTTCGGCCCAAAGACGGGGAAACTGGAAAGTCTGGTGAAATTTTCCCCGTCTTCGTAAAAGGGCTTACGGAGGTCTTAATACTGCATGGATCTGGTTCAAAAGTGGACTGATGATGCACGGCACGAAGTAGTACCGTGGTTGGAGGGTTCGGCCGAGATCGCGCGGACACACCCTGCGGCAGCTAGGAAAACGTGGAATCCTATTATGGCTTAGCTGGCCGTTAGTAGTCGCACGATTCGGCTCAAATTTGGATATGATAACCACCTAGGGATACTCTAGTGTGGTTTTGAGGTTCGGCCGAGATCGAATGAGCAGAACGGCTAAAAACGCGGAAAACGTAAAATCCGCGTTTCCCGGTAAAACGGCGTTTTGGCTCATCCAATTCGGACGAAATAGGAGACATAATGCCAGCGACTTGAGGAGTGCTGCAGTAAATTTCGACACCGATCGCTAAATAAGTTTTTGAGTTATTGACGATAGCGTCCTTGGACCAATTCGAAAGATGAGTAAAAATAATGATGGTTGTTTCCAAATATCGCCCTGAAACGCGCCAGCGAATTTTGCACAAATTTTTTCTACTGAAACTCTTTCTTCTTTACTCAACGATTCCAAATTAATTAAATCTAACAATTTTTTTACTCTATCTACCGACATTAATGTTTCTGAGAATTCGAAACATTCAAACTTTGATACTTCTTCTGTCCTACGCTTAAAATTCTTTAACCTAATTTCCCTATCAGCAATATTTAATATTCTAACTGGAATATTATTATTATGCGGTCGCGCGATAATACCTGCCGAGTAAACACCTTCACCTTCCGGTAGCACAATGCATTCATTATTACTGTCTATAAAAAAGTATTTGACTATTTCACACCTGGACGGTATTATAGTGTAATTATCATAGTTGGAATAGAGATGATCTTTGTCTTCAAAAGTTTGATTGAAAAACGAAACTGAAAATTCTTCGTAATTTATTACAGCTTTGTATCTCGTAAGAAAATCAGATCCTAGTATGCCATATATTTCACTATTATTAGAATTGCTTACTACGTAGAATGTATGTTTTATAGTACTACTACCTAACGCAAATATAATATCAGCTGTTCCAAAAGCGGACGTTGCACTAGCAATACCTGTTATCTTTATTGTATTGTTCTTATTAATGTATTCGCCTTTACCTACGTTATCACTAAAAACTACTGAAATTGCTGCACCCGTATCTACCAAAAAATACAGTTCTTTGGACCCATATTTAATTTTTACAAAATTTAGTCCATTTAAATTTTAAACTACTGTCTCGTCTATCTTACGGAGAGGAACGAAAACATTTTCCCGCAGATTGTCCGACAGAATTACCATATGACTGGTCGGTATCGTCGCTATTGCTATTTTGCAAGTTATAGCCACCTCTCGTCTCAATTCCGCAGTAGTTTCTACGACCCCTATGAACTCGATTATGCGGACCAGACAATTACGTCCTTCGTTCGCTGATACTATTTCGGTTAAAGTTATTGTTACTACCCTACCAAATTCTACCTCTCGCACCTCTGTGGTTACTTCTATATTGACTACGTCTACTTTTAAATTGGAAAATATGTAACGCACTGCTACTTTTAGCAATCTCTTCATCTTGCGCAGCGCTTATGGCATCTTTTAACTTATCGTAATCCCTAGCGTTTACTATTAATTTGCCTCATCATTTTAGCTTTTATGTCCGCCACAAGAGCCTCGTTCGAAAGGTAAACATTTTGTAGTTTTAATTTAGCACTTGCTGGCAATCTTGTTTTAAGAACATACTTTATCAATAACTTTTTACTCTCATTACCGAATAAACTATCGTACATTTCTATTGCGTCTGTTAATTATAAAACCTAATCTCTAGTATTCGTCAATACTGGAATTATAGCTACAGCTGTTCTTAAATCAAATTTTGACATCTAACTGCACTAACTTAGATTTACAATCTGATTCTTTTGCTAAACTACTACAATTACCACTAGTTACATCTAAACTTTCTAACCTACGCTTTAGAATATCATCAATCACTACTATATACTTCTGCGTTGCTGCAATAATTGCATTTATTTTCTCGACATCCTCCGAAGTACCTGCTTTATTGCGAAATTCACTTATTTGCCTAATTACCCCGCTCTTAATTTTATCTAATTTACTAATATACTTTCTAGTTACCTCCAAACTACCTCTCCTTTCCGCATTGTCCTTTCCTAAATTACGGTTAAACACTCTGAGTTCCTCGTAGACGTCCTTGAAGTTGTCCGCTCTTGGCATGAAGCAACCTTTTCATTTCCGCAACGTCTCCAACACTTACCTCACTCACTTTTCTTTACACTCACTTTTCTTTACACTCACGCACTATTCACTAGGACGATGATATGCTTTGCAGCTCCTCGCTCCTTCGGACTTCCTCTCGAACTCTTCTGTCGATTCGCCTATTCAGTCGTGACCGACAACTTTTGAATATCAAGATTCCTCCAATACACATAATCGTTATGCACAAGCCAATGAACGCTAACACTCCCAGACTTTCCTGTACTGACAAGCTTGTACTTGTACTGGCCTGGACATTTTCTGTTTGTACGTTTGTTGTAGGTTTGTACTGTTTGCTTTGCGCCCATTTCGTACTAATTTTACTTCACTTTACTCATTTTATATTTTCCAAAGAAAACTCCATAGGGCTCTCAACTGCAGGAACGCCATGTGGTGAACTTAACTTTGTTCATCTATTTCATTAGGATGAGGAGCAGGATTGGAAATCATAAGGCACGTCTTCACTTGGAAAACAGTGGTTTATGAATGGTTTTATTTCCTATCTAATTGTTAATTACAATTATAATAATGTAGGACATGTCCTTGCCGACTTAGCAGATAATTCTACAATTGCAACCTACTTTCAACATCATAGGTTACCAATACAATCCATAACATACTTTTTGAAATATTTACTATTAATAATTTATAAACAAACTTGTCCTACTTATTACTACACTACAAGAATATTGAATGTTAATGAACGAGAGATTAAGTTAAGAAATTTTCGACCGAAAGTAGAGAGTATACCCAATTATGAAATATGTCACTACGACCGCAATAAAATACCCGTCAACCGTGTTGATAAGGTTTTGAATATGATAAATACAAAATCATTAACCACAGAGGAGCTTAATTCAATTGAAAAAATTTGCGCTATGGGATATTTTCCATTTAGATGGTGATCCCTTAACAGTGACAAATATTTATAAGATACAGATTACCTCATTCGCAAAAAGACGAAATACACAGGCAGGTAGGAAAAATCTTACAAGAAGGCATTATAGAAGAAGTTAGATCTAAGTGGTCTTCGCCTCTCTTAGTAGTCGGGAAAAAAGCCGATCATATTGGGGAGAAAAAGTATAGAGTTGTTGTCGATTATCGGTTATTAAATAAAGATGAAAAATTCCCATTGCCTAATATCACTGACATTTTGACCGTCAGGAGCTGTATATTTTTCTCATCTTGATTTAGCACAAGGATATTAACAATTAGAATTACATCCTGAAAGCCGACCAATTACTGCGTTTACATCGGATAGAGGTCAATTTCAAATGAAGAGATTAGCTATTAGTCCAATTAAACAAGCCTTTAAATCGAAATTTCGTCAACTTGGCTGAATTTTTTATATGAGTTAGTTTGAGGTATATTATAACAATAAGTGAGAGTAATTTTTTGTTCAACCCCCGGCCAAGGGTGAAAAAAGATAAAACAAAGGGGTTTTTCAAGATAACTCAAAAAGGGTAAAGCTAGAAAAAAAGTTTTTCATGAAAGTTGTAAAGCATACAATTCTACATAAAAATGGCCTCTTGATTTTTTTCTCGTACTATTAAAATTAACAGAGTTAGGGAGGCTAGAAGTTAAGGGAAGATTTCAGAAATTTAAAAAAATCATAACACAGAAAAATGAATGAATTTCGTAATTTTTTTTTCAATCTGCTCTAAAAAAATGTAACTTTTCTTTCCAGAGAAATAGACATATTTTCTAATTTTTAATAAGAAAGTTATAACAAAATCAAATTTTTAATCGTTAATTTTAATGATTTAACAAAATTAAAACAATGTGTTTTCTATACTATTCGATTGATTATTTAAAATAATGAAAAGTTGCCTTCGAATTTTTTTATTACTTTGGTTTCTTAGACAGCTACAAATTTATTTACCTTTTTATCTTCTGAATTTTATTTAGCTCCTACGACACTGCAAAGACAAAGACAAAAAAATCACGTTCGCTTTGTCGCACGCATTGGGGGCAGTATTATCAAACTCAGATGATAGGCCTGTTGCGTATGCATCTAGAAGTTTAAATAAAGCAGAAAAAAATTATAGTACGGTGCAAAAAGAGATGCTTGCGTTAGTTTGGTCCATGAAACACTTTAGGCCATACTTGTTCGGTAGAAAGTTCAAAGTTGTGACGGATCATAGGCCTCTAGTATACTTATTTAGTATGGCATCTGTCGAGCAGATTAACGAAATTTAGACTAGTTCTAGAAGAATACGACTTTTCTGTACATTATGTGAAAGGTTCAGATTATGTTACAGCGGATTCTTTATCTTGTGTTGTCAGTGAATCTAGTGAATTAAAAGAAATGAGTGAGAAAGAGAATGAAAGGATGAATGTTATGACACGGGCGCAAAGCAAACTCAAAAATAATTTAGAACATGAAACAAACAAAACCAATACATCGATAAGTAATAGGCTTGATCACCATATTGTCGTCGAAGTACTAAAACAACCATTAGAAACGGTAGAACTTCGTCTATTGTTAGAAACGGAATTTGCCGAGAAAGTTAAGAATAGTAAACAAGGTATACATCAGCATATAAATAACTGTATTTATGATAAAGGCTCTCAAATAATATATTACTAACCAGAAACACCGATCAGCGTTTGACTTAGGTAAATCGTTGAGGGATTTAGAAAAAATATGCGTAAGAAATACTATTTCAGAAGTATATATTATAAGAAATGAAGATATTACTGAATTTTTACGGCATTTGCATGAGTGTAAAGATATAGTAAAAATTTGAATATTAAATTTATTATAGTAAGGGATTTACAGCGTATAGACGATAAAGAATTAAGACAATTAATTCTAAACGATTTTCATACATTACCAACAGGAGGACATGCTGGAATAAATCGTATGTATAACAATATTAAAAGAAGATATTTTTTGCAAGGTCTGAAAAAGGATGTTGAGAAATTTGTCAAAAAGTGTGACGATTGTCAAAGAAGTAAACATTCAAAGCCTAATAAGGATCCCATGACAATAATTACAACAGCTACATCAGCTTTCCAAAAAATTTTTCTTGACCTAATGGGTCCTTTACCCACAGATATTGAGAAAAATAAATATATCTTAACAATACAATGTGACCTTACTAAATTTATAGAAGCATACCCAAGCTTTTGTAGAAAACTTTATATTAAGGTTTGGCATACCTCTTGAGGCAGTAACCGATTTAGGCTCAGAATATATGTCAAGTACGTTTCAACAAGCGTGTAAACGATTAAATATCGATCATTTAAAGTCAACAGCTTACCACCATCAAACGTTAGGAAGTCTTGAAAATTCGCATAAACATTTGGGTGCATATTTACGAATAATACTTGCGAAAGAGACAAATAATTGGAGTACGTGGATACTCTATTGGTGATTTTCGTACAACAACACAGTCCACACATCAACACTATATACACCCCATGAATTAGTATTTGGCACACCGGGTAGAATTCCATCAAACATTGAAAGTAGGATCGATCCTTTGTATAACTTTAATAATTACCCAGCAGAGTTAAAATTTCGATTACAAACAGCTTAGAATGATGCCAGGTCTAACTTATTAGTAGTAAAATCAAAACAAAAAAAAACATATGATACGAATTGTAAAAAAGTAGATTATAGAAAGGGAGATATAGTTTTGGTAAGTAATGAGAGTGCAATAAGTTGAACACTCTTTTTAAAGGTCCCTACAAAGTGTTAGAAGATAAAGGTTACAACATAGTTTTCGACATTGACAGTAAACATGTAGAAATACATAAGAATAGGGTTAAACGATATTACAGCTAAGTAGATAGGTAAACATATAAACATAAATAAAGGGTCCCTATTCAAACATATTGGTTAGAGTTTGATTCTAATAAAAAAAAATTAATGTCTTTATAATTTAGGTTATAGGAGGAATGATAGAACTAAAAACAATTACTTTCTTAATCAAAACTTTATTTTTTCCAAATTTGGTAAAAACCACAAACTTCTTTTAAGGGATGCTAAGTCCAACAGCATATAATAAGAATTCGCCAACTTTATTCAAATTTAACAATGAAAATAGTTTCCGAGATATTGGCTAATGAAGGTTAAATGCACACCATATTTTCAAATTTTATTACCTATTTATGGTGAAAAATGTTTGAATTTATTTTCACCATCCTTCAGAGAGCTAAAATTCAAGATCATTGCATTATTGATTATGTAGTGAAAATAAATGGTGTGCATTTAACTTTCCATCAGTCAATATCTCGCAAACGGTTGGTCTGTGAGATTTCAACCAAGTGTATCATTTTTGCTTAAAATTGATAAGGGAATAAACGCACTAATACGAAACGTCAATGTACAGGGTAGCAAAAAAATTTAGTCCAATTTAATTTAAGCGTACCCTTATAAGTGGCGTCCTCTACAAGCAGCGTCAAAAGCAATTACATATTTAAATATAGCATCCAAAAAAAAACCGTACCCTAAGTTTTATGCCAACATTCAAATATGTTCGAAAATTATTCCTAAATAATCGAAAAAATAAAAAACTTTAACATCCTCTATATCGAATAGCATTTGTGGACCCATGTTTATAGGGAAAAAAGTCTTATTTTGAGCTCAAAAACACGCCCCTAAATTCTTTGTAGTGAATTTTGAATGAACCTGTATATTACAGATTTTAAAATCGACATTTTGTAACAAATGTGAGGAACCAAAACTTCTATTTAACGGAAAAGTTAAGATTATACAAAACATTGCCTATTACTTCTGTGATGCTGGATACGAATTGAACACAAATGAATATGTAAAAGGCAGAAAATGCACTAAAGCTACAAAATGGGAAGGTTTTTATGAACCCTACTGTAAAAGTAAGTATGCAATTCAAATAGTGATTCTATGTAATTTACTAACTATACGGGATGTATTTGAGAGTGTGGTTCTAATTTTAAGAGCTACCTATTTATATTAAAATGAAACAATACAGGGTAATTCACAACTTTCCAAAAAAATTTGGGAATAGATGCGATATGAAAAATGGAGTCAATATCGTAAAAAAAAATTGTAAAATCCTTATAGTTTCCAAGAAAAAAATTGTAGTACTTGCCACCATTACATCGCTGGACAACTGTAATCTCTAGAGTCATTCGCGTTGTGCGCCTTACGCAATGCGCGTGAAAAGCCACGTGACCCAGCGAGTCTGAATACTGATTAGTATTAACGTCATTGCGATAGTATTTATAATAGTTTTTTAGTAGTTATTGTCAAAAATGGCTTACGTGTATAGCAACTTGGAGTTGATGGATATCGTCTTAATTTATGGTGTTAGTTCGTAGAAACTGTGTAAGACAGGTCCAAATGTGTTTACACGTCGTTAGACAAAATTTTGAATAGTTTGTGACATTTTAATTCTTTCATGAAACATACAAATAACTTTATACCTAAGTATTTTGAGTTGCCTATTTGAATATCGTATAGCGATTCGGAAAGTGAAAGAAATCACCAAATTTATTCGTCCTCCTCACGCCTAGTTCACCGTTCATAGGCGCAGTAAAATTTACAAAAACCACGAGATAAAAAGGTGTCCTAAACAAAGCAGGTATCTTTAAGTTTTAAAATAGCTTGTCTCGTCTTTTCTATCATATTATCGTATCGTCAATATATTTTATTTATATAACTCATTATTAATTTATTATTTACCTAATTCCCTCCCGTGAGTGTTGATCATGTTTCCATTAGAGGATTGGTATCCCGGAAATTATAGGTTATTATTTTCTTTTCTGTTGGTATCTTTTTGTTTCCCTCCAAGACTTTTTTAAAATAGTTTTGAGACTTTGGAAAAAAAACAGTCAGGTTTCTTGCTTTTCAAGTGTGCACGACTAAGTGGCCAAGCTCTTTTGTGAAAGTTAGAATCACCCTAATTTGTGATTTAAAGTGGTTTTGGCAAAGATTTATACTTTTATTGGAGTTATTTGGTATTAAAAGTATAGCCTTTTGGGGATTTTGTGTCGTCATCATCACTTGTCCAGCACCTGGAAAATAATTTTCCACGGTAGAGGTTTTCTCTCTATAGTGTGTCACCATCTACACCGTTTTACCATCTCCTGATAATCAGAAAACCCTCTACAAAGGAGGTATGTATCTTATAACAATTATTGTTAACCTTTCATTCATGTGCTGGGGCGTTAGTTAATGCATTTTTGTATATCTAGGTTTTTTTTGTGGGACTACTTTTTCCCCACCAAGGTTACTCCTACCACACGTGTCAGAATAGGATTACGTAACCTCCCTTGACGGCCTAAGATCTTACCAACCCTTGACAGTTTTAGTGGGCTGTTTCCACCCGCTGTCTTCCGCCACGTGGAAGAATACTTACCTTTCACCACTCAAGTTGGATACCATTCACCCTTACTCAACTAGATCCCTCTGGAACCTACGCTCTTGGTGTTTGCCAGATATGTGGTGTCAAATTATCGTTATTACTATTATTATTATTTTTATTTAAATTATTATTAACTGGTACTTATCATCCATCATATTTAATACTAGTACCCTTGTGAGGTATTATCTAAGTACCACCCCTAGTTGTGAGGAAAACAATAAACTTTAGTCTTAAGTATTACTCAAATTTACGTTTTGTGTAGGTTAAGCCAATTTATTTATTTTCTTCTCTTAAATTACTAAACTAACATTAAATAGTCAACTACTCGTAAAATTAAATTAAATAATATTTCTTACAACTTGTTACCCCATGTAAACCAGGTCGTGGATATCTATTGATTGGTATAATAATATGTTAATTGATATTCTGTTGATTAATGTTTGTAAGGTTATTATCGTAGATAGTAGTTATTCAAAATTTTCTTTAATATATTGTTTCGTCACAAATAAAAATCTCTTGAATATTTCCTTCCACTCTGATTCTAAGAGAACAATCCCAAAAGAATAGAAAAAAATTGTTACTTAATCAGTTAGATTTGGGAACTCTTTTGTGGTTTTCGAGTTCCCAGGTGAAGCGAAAAAGGGCAGTTAAATCAAATCACATGGCGCCCTATTTCAAAATATTCTAATTAGTTGGCCTTGAAACCTGGAAAAGGCACTGCCTCCTTGATTTGTTTTTTTTTTTATTTATTTAATTAAATTGGAAATAGCTAGCCAGGGCATATGGCGTGCACATAATATCACCCGGTATCTTTAGTTAGTACTTTTTATCATTTATTAACTCCCTGAGATTTCGGCAAGTTATAAGTTGTTGTCAGGTATGTCAAATTATTTTATTAAGTAAAACCACAAATTGATTTCACTAATTATTAACAACAATAGCGGCAAAAGCAGTTGCATTTACTGATATGAAGTAGGTGTTATAAAATTCTATTTACCTATTTCTTTCCTTGCGAAATTCTTTCAAGGTTTTGTCCGTTTTTTATTACACTTCGCCTTGGTTTTACAGTGGACCAATTTCCAGTGCCGTGCAGAAGTGTATTTTTAAATCATTTTCGAACTGCCCTTTTTGTTTTTTTTACAAAAGTGTATTTGTAAGGGTCCCCTGTACATCCAATTTTTTTTTATGAGTTCTGAATCACCCTGTATGTAATATATTTGAAGAAAAGTTGACAATATTTTTAAAATATTCGTCTTTTCCGGTAGGGGTCCTGAACAAGATTTATAAAAAAAATATATCTTAGGTCCTTAATCATGAAAAAATCATCGGCTTTTATTGACACATTAAAATAATCATTATATGTAGCAAAAATGTTTCAAATTGTCATTAACACAGAATCGTGCTCGACGTATATGTAAGATTCAATACACGACGTTAGTAATGTTTCTTGATAGCGAACTGTTTTTACTATAGCTCAGTTCTTTTACTTAATTCTTCAACCATCTGAACCTGTTCTATATACCAAATTGAAATCGTGTCGAGTTAGGTCTTGTGATCGGGTGCACTATAAAACGGTACCGTTGAGTCAGATCGACCTACCAAAAAATTTTGTAGCTCACGTCGGAAGTGTAGTGAATCATCATCATACGAAAACCAAATAGCCTGTGATATATTTCTCAAAAGGATATTTCGAAAAAATCCTGGGTCCGAATTCATAATCCATCGAAAATCCAGGTGACGGGACTGTACAGACACTGCTGCCAAGTCTTCTAGCTAAGCCCACAGCCAGAGATCGCACCTCATACAATCAAACTTGACAACTCCTCGGTTTCGCTTTCCGTCGGTTTACTAATTAACGTAATCTCAATTCTCCTTATCCCTAATGTATTTCCCACGCTGGGCATACGATATTTAAGTGTAATGAAAATTACACTACGAATTATTGTGTTGTCTCCGCAATAATAATTGCAGAGTGCTATTTGTTGGAACCGTGCCCTAACAACTGATCACCTGGTGTTCCTTGATAGTGAAGTAAAAAAATAAAAGCAAAATATTCTATTTCGACGAACGTTGCTTCATCGTTGAAGATTCGAACACCAAAGCAAAATAAAGCTGAAAATGTTCCGTTACCATGCACGATGCTTCCCCGTTGAAATTCCGGACCCAGCTGACTCGAATATCGCACGCGCACCGGTACCCTTGGTAGGCAAAAATGACTTCGGATGGGGCGGGATCGAGCGGAACTTTTGCTCCTTACCCACGACATCTCTGTAGAACTCCACGTCTGGTAGAGATAAGCACTTTGCCCATTTCACACTATACAGCGTGGAAAGTTTAACTGGAACAAATTCTGTAATTTAATAAATAAAGGTTTGGGGCAAAATTCCTGAAACATGTCAATTTTTATTTTCAATGGGTATATTACAAACAGGTTTGTTAATTTTTTTAATTATGTTTTTATATAATGTTTTAGTTACTTTTCATAAAAATAGAGAAATGTTTACTGAAACTACTTTAGTGCAAACAATTTTCAAAGTGACCTCCACAATGTTGCTGACAATAACCTAATCGATAATAAAAAGCATTCTGAACATTTTGTGACACTTCCGGCGTTACTCGCCTAATGTCATCCCTGATTCTTTGTTGAAGCTCCATGTCGTATTAGATATAGTTGGGGGTTGCTGTAACCCCCCACATAATTAACAAATCTTTAGTAAAATCACGTCTCAAAAACACCCCCATTTCTTTTGTCGGCCCATGTTATTTTTATACTATAGTGTTAAGTTATTTTTGTTACTAAACTACTTACCTATTTTTGCTGTGTTGCCGTTATAAATAATACCATTTTGTTGCCTACAGATGAATCAATTTATAATCAATGTATTGTAATTATTAAATTATTATTGATCGTTTTTAGAAAAATCTTGTGGATATCCCGGTACAGTGAAAAATGGTTATCAAATAGGAAATGGTTACTCCTTTCAAGATAGAATCAGATACAATTGCTATAATGGTTTTAGAATGATTGGAAATAGTACAATTATTTGTGGAAAAGATGGCATTTGGTTTCCAAAGAAGCCTCAATGTGTGGGTAATTATGTTTTATGTTATATTGTATATACACGGTGTCCCATTTTAAATAACGCATTGCAATATTCTTAGGGAAGCACTTTCAAAAAAAACTTTTTAGACAAAAGTTGTAGAGTTCTGAGGGGGACATTCGATGGTGACCTTGACCTTGACACAAAGGTCAACCGTAGAGGTCATTTGAACATCAATTTGGATTTTTATATATGATAGACGTATTTCTGACATCGAAAATTGATAGAGCGGAAAATTTTATGTTCAGATATGTCTATGTTATGGGTTAAAGTGGGTCTAAAGGGTTATTTTATAGTCAAATATGATTCTGAATACGATTTTGCTCATTTGATCAAAATTTTACAAGAGGCCCAAAAACTTCCAATCCTGTCAGATTAAAAATAGTTGTCATTATTGTCCGAAAGAGGAAAAAGTTATGAACGGATATTATCACCATACATCAATTTTGTAGGAGTTGTAGGTTTTAAAAAACACTCTGTATAAACCAAAATGTGTAGATTGAACGCAAAAGATCACGCTCCAAAAATAATCAAAATCGATTAATACGTATTCGAGTTATTTACAAAATTCAAAAAATTTTCACTAACTTTGAGGCCATCTAGCGGCCAAACGAAGCGAAGGTGAATTAGCCTAAATCTGCCTATTTTAAGTCCACGAATCTGTGCTCTTTCGTTGTACAAGTTCTTCTGGGACACCCTGTATACCGTCAATGCGATATACAAGATATTTTAGAAATTTTCTCTGTACTGTCTCAATCGATGAATATCATAAAAAGGGTTCCAAACGAGCGAGCAGTATTCAAACTTGGATCCCACATACGCAAAAAACAAGGTTTTTAAAACCTTAATATCATGGAAATCTCGACCTTGTCTGATTATGAATCCAAGTGCTTTCGTAGAAGCAGATAAGGTGTGCTCTATGTGGGACGTAAAGCTTAATTCTGAATCAAAATGGTCTCCCAAGTCTCTAGTAGCATCACAGCGAGCCAGCACATGCGAATCGATTACATAATTCAACAAAATTTTATTACGTTTACGAGTAAGCGACATCGTTATGCATTTATTGTTGTTAAGAAAAAGTTTGTTCAAAGTACACCGTCGGACCACATTGTTTAGCTGCAGCTGAAGCTTTACACAATCATCAACCGATTTAACAGCATTGAACAATTTCAAATCATCTGCAAAGAACAATTTTTCACAATCAATTACTCTATTAAAATCATTAACAAACAGAGAAAAAAGAACAGTTTCATTTTACATTAAGAACATAATTATAATATTTATGTACGTTATAAAACATGGATTATAACATGGTTATAAAACATCATTTATACTTTACATAAATAATTTCCCAATCTTTTCCTAAATAAAAATGCAAAAATAATTTCACTTATAATTTTTAATGAAATCAATGACTTTTCTCATGATTTTTTGTATTTTTAAGCTATTCCAATAGATTCCTTTCGTAACGTAGTATCAAAAAAATGATCGATTTATCGTATATAGTTTCCAAGAAAACTTTTATTCTAGTTGAGCCATCGATTTTGAAGAGCGAGAACGAGTTTTTTCAAACGTGATGCTTGCCGTCGTTCGCTTCCCCCACCCTTCCGCTGCACCTCGCCGAAAAATCAAGCGGCCCACTGACTTTTGACAATATTTCTTATGCACTTAACATACTTCCACAATTAAAATATTTTTATCTGGGAAAGTACTCGGGTTACCGGTTATTTTTTTGCCGCTACCAACCTAATTTGTTTAACAATAGGCCGTCAACTTTGACAGTCTGTTAACTCCGTTGTTTTTCAACGAATCTTGCCGATTTTTTTTTTAACTTAAAGCTCTTTTCATAAGCTTTCCGAATATGTAATAATATATAACTATATCATGCGCGTGCGTCGTATATTTCATTTTGCAACTAAGGCTAAAAAAAAACTTTCCAGGTTGCAAATTTGGAATTAAAAATAATGATAGATTTCAATGTATTATTATGAAATCTACCATGAAAAAAATCAGTGCGATTGTAGAAGATGCTCGGGATCGTCCAGACTAATTACTAGTTAATTTGTTTATAAGACCATTACTTGTAAACTATTCAACTTACCGATTCCAGACTTCGTGTGAGTTATTAGACAGTGATAAGGAATGAGAGGATGCGATGCCAAAACGTTCTGGTAATAATAACGCAGTTTATAAATGTTTAATTCAAAAGTCATAAATAAACTTCTTCTGTTTATAACTTTTGATTTAATCACTATTTTTTTTTGAGGCTCGAGGGCTAGTTTTGTAGGTCTTTTGAAGACGAAAAAAAAAGTGCTTTACTGTTTTCTTGTGGAAATGAACGAAAAAAAGTTATAAGCGAAAAACGTGAATCTACGTAAAAATTATACAATTAACCAGTATAACAATCTTCCCCCCATTTTTATGACTGTGGAAACTAATATGTTATTGTACATAATATTTAGCATCTATAAATTCAGCTTGCCAAAACAAAAAGTCGCGTCCAACTCTATATTTCTTAGCCTATAAATACTCGGCATTCAGTCGGTGAGTGGATGGGTAAATAAACTAAAATTAGAGCGCCACTAGTTTTCTTCTCCACGCCCACGGCATAAAACTAGAAAGCCTCACGATATCATGAAGTCCACTTCGAGCAATATATTCAATTAAGTTTCTTAGAATCAATAAAAAAATTATATAAAAAAAGAAATAAATAAGAAAAGTACTTACAAATTTATTTTATCAATAGCGAAGTTAATTAAAGAAGACAATTAAAGTAGGTGATTTAGAACATGATTTTTTTTATTATTCCCACTAGAACTATGGTGTGCATTTATTTATGCATTTATGTTATCAAAATCAGTCTTATGACTTCCCACCGTACATAGGATTTACAGAAATATACTTAAATAGTAATCTTACTGAAGGATTTGTAATAAATGCCAATAAATAAGAACACTCTCATATGTTATGATTAGTATCTGGAATGCAATTAATTATAAAATATATACGGGGTGTTTGTAAATAAGTGCGAAATATTTCAGGAGGTGGTTGCCCAAGAGTAGATATAATAGGCGGGTTCTGCGCCACTTTTTCTGCGCCACACTAAATGACGTCACGAACTCGATGGCCAGTGTCCATCGCTCCTTCAGCGGCTTTTTGTGGGCATTGTCGTTGTGCAAGAGATGCGTGGGTGTTGGCATGCAAGAAGTGTCATGGCGGCATGGAAGTGACGTCACATGGCCAGTTGGTGGTAAATTTAAAATTCAATCGCGATAAGGGGAGGCCAATGACCTCCAAACAGCATTGCGTCATTCTTATCCGGTATTGCATCATTCGAGGTCAAGGTTCAGACCTGTTTTCTACAGGTTCTGACCTGTTTTCTACTGGTTCAGACTTGTTTTCTACAAGTTCTAACTTGTTTTCTACTGACAGACTTGTTTTTTTCCTGCCTCAGACCTGTTTTCTACAAGTCCAGACTTGTTTTCTACTGGTTCCAACCTGTTTTCCACAGGTTCAGACTTGCTTTCTAGTATAAACTGTAACCTAATATATTATTTCCTTTATAATTGTAGTGTTACCAAAAATTCAAAATTCAAATTCAATTCAAACATAGCATGAGCCTCTTTAGCTAAGTGGTAGAGCACTGGAAACCGGAGGTCGTGAGTTCAAATTTCACAGGAGGCAATTACATTTCTATCAAAAATGTCAGGTCTGCGATTCGAACCCACGCTCCCTTTAGGGAACCAAGGCTTAAACAAGACGCCTTAACCACTCGGCCAACCTGACTCGATAGGTATATGGAAAAGAAACGAGAAAAAAATTTTTATATCTATTTATTGGCATAAAGTAGGTGTAATACATGATGTATATGGGATAGTTATTTAACATCATATTCGAACTGTTGCTGAAAGTTCTTTATAACATAAAGTACAAAATTTTATATGCATTCCACAAATCCAGCAGACTTCCACATGGGCGCAAGGTAGAAAAATAACGTTTCGTTCTCGCTTTCGACATATTCGGCAAACCTTTTCAGGCGGTCCCCAGCATTCAACCTCAGGAACGAAATATGGCATTACTTCGATTGGCTTCCTACCAAACATTACGCTCTCTTTAAAAGCACCTATTGCTACACTTGACTATGATATACTGAAGAATAATTGGACATCTAATGATTAAATTTATAGAACAAAAGTTGTGTTTTTAATCCCTTTGTTTCCTGATAGCAACTTGAATATTATACAATGGAGGTGGTAGGGTTGTAATTCTTGAAGGAGCTGCGCTACTGAACCGTATGTTGTTGATACCAGTCAATCTGGAGGACTGCGGTAAAAATGTGGAGTTTATGCTGTTTTCGCTACATTAACCATAATACTTTTGAATGATTTTTGCAATACTCTTCAGTATTAATACAATTGTAGCGACTGTTATAAAGTAAATAAGTCCAGAAATTGTATTCAAATCTGTTGTCGTATTTTCAGACGCTACGATGAGTGCGTCTGCGTATACATCTTCATAATCGGAGCAGTTTAAAATAGGTAATGACCTCCAGGTATCAAAATCTCCAATTGACTTATTTTGAAACGTTATTCTCAACTTGTAGAATTTAGAATGTTCCGGAACTGACGCCCCGAAGACCCTCAGCTTTCCACCATTAACTATATTACGTCTCATCTGAATTAACGTATGTGGACATGTATCATTCTCGCTAACATTTCTGTAGCATACATACATTTCGTGTACGTTGTGTATATCATGTACGTACAACACATTTTGTAGTACTGCAGTTAAAATTATGAAATTGGAACGTAAAACGACCATTGTTGTTAAGCAACAGACCACTGTCTATAAACGAATGAGGTACATAATGATTTGTAAAGTCTTATAACTGGTTTTTCTTATTCATGAAAGGTAGAGGGAGAGAGGAAATAAAACAAACAAGGACAAGTAAACATATATTAAGCATATTAAAATATAATAAATATAATATTATAACGTAATTGGTACAATTCTTGTAGATGTAGGTCCATTCTTCGCTACGGAAAATCGATGAGGATTCGTAAATACACCATCCCATTTGTCTTGAATGTTCATTTTTTGAAACTGTTTAGCCATTTTACACTGGTTGTCGTAGTGTGTTATTTCGGATTTTAGTTGGCGAATTTTTTCAAGATGTTTATCTAATAATGGCTTGAGAATTTTAGAAGTCGTTTCAATTCTTCTCTTGAATCTATCTCTATCCGCAGCAAAAAATTCCCAGTATCTACGCCGAGCTGCAGTAGATGCAAAAGTCCACGTTTTCATTAGATGCACTTTATTTTTAGATTCGTTGAAAGTAACTGTTTTCTTCTTCATTGCGGCAATAGGTTGTATACCCAAAGGAAAAGATCTTCGCAGTTCCGCCTGCTGCATCTGACTGTTTTATTTGGATTCATATGATATGAACAACGGAGTACATCTACTTGGAAACGTGGTGGGGGGTTATCCCAGTAATTTTCACATTTTTCAACGTTTACCACATTGGGTAAGTGCTGCCAGCTGGAGGGAACCAATTGCGGTAGTATTTTCTCTAAATAATCCCGCTGTTCACGTCCTTTCACATAAATTATATCGGTACACAGCAAATGATCTTCAAGTATAGCGTTCAGCGCACTATATTCTACGTCTCCAGATGAATAGCGGATGCCGTGGATATTTCGTTCCGTATATTTTACTTGCTTCTGATTCAGTCGAGATAATCTATGGAAACTTGTAGGCGGTTTAATCAAATAATGGCTCACTTGGCGTGCATCCTGAATCGTGATTTCCTTAGGATAAAATTCATAACCTCCATCGGTACTCAGTAACATAAAGCCCTGGATGTCTAGCGCCACAACCTTCATCTCAGACGATTATCAAACGACTAATTAACAATTACTTAGATTTATTTTTTAAGCTAGATTTTTTACGATTTCGCTAAGTGGGAGGTGTTCCATGATACAATCATGTACAATTATGCAATAGGCACTGGTATTATCAGGAAAACCTTGTGCTGCTTCAATATCCAATCTTACGTCCACGGTAGATGATTTTATGCTTTCATCCCGCCTCGAGCAATCGATGACGAAAAGAGCGTGATTCCTAAAGGTGAGGTAATCTAGTAAAGATTTCTTCTGCAGCGTATTCGAGTAACTTGGATAAAACTCGGTGTAGTTGTAGTGAGCTTCAGCGTAGTCGTTATTTGCAAAATTTAATCGCATCCTCTCGTTAGGGAAACTCTCGCCGTTTAGCGTTAATCTAATGTTGGTAATATCAATGTTATCAAAGTGTGTAGGATCTTCCGTGAATTTGTTTTGTTTGGCTGTCTGGAAACCGACAATGACGTATCTAGGGCTTTCGATCGCAGAAGTAGTCTTAACGGCCCAAATTTCTTTTGTAGCGCCAGGCGTGAGCGCAGGTAGCATATGCAAATCCCATTGTCTATACGGTATCAATATGGGCGTATCAGCTTTGATGGCTTTTAGTAAGCTAAGTTTTATTTCGTCGTTAGGGTATAGCCGTTTAATTTTAACCTCAATATTTTGAATATCCAGAGTCACTGTGGTTTTATCGGTAGCCACCTTCTCCTTAACCAAGAAACAATTGGAATCGTTACTGGCTCTTATCAATTTGATACATTGCTTGCTACACGTTACCATGCGGTAGTCATTGAAAAGATTGAAGATATGCTTCAACGGGACGAGGAAATTAAAAGTTCCATCGGCGTTTAGAGTTGGTGCATCAGGATAATTCCATCCGGCTATAGATAAGTGTTTGGAATCCTCATCGGAATAACACAAGTATCCGCGAACGGTGCTCACTAGACCAACTTCACGTATACTTTCCAGTTCTTTGGCGTTTATTTCGTATGTGGCTGACGAAAACATAAAGGCCACTGCGTTGTTTACGAACGATACGCCTCCATTACCAACCTTTGTAATCTTCCCGCTGATAAGTATCTGACCGTCGTAAGTAGCATCGAAAACATCGGCTTGATTGATGATGATTTCAATGACGTCGTTGTTTCTGAAGGACTTTACGTATGGATAATACGTTCGCCATTCCACCTTTTGTATGGATTCGTCCATTGAGGGACGGCGAAAAAGATCGAACGTTTGATGCGATGACATTATAACCCAGAGATTTTAGGAACAAGGTGTTCGTTAGAGACAGAGGCTTAGTGAATGCAACCTTATCGTGAGAGGAGTACCGCGATACTGACGCGTACCTCGATAGCGGCTCCTTTATATGATCAGGTCGAGAGTTGTTGAAAACTAGCATTATTCAAGTTTCTTAATCTCCAATCGAATGATGATTTCTTCACCTCTGAAATTAACGGGTTCGAAATTCTGGTCCAACACGTCGATTGTAAGCGTGCTTATTTCAGTTCTATTTATCGGTAGATAGATGAGGTGATTTGGTTCTTCGTCGATGGCAAATCCTGGGCCGACCCTTACAGGAAACTCGAATATAGTATGTGACGGTCTATCGTTGTAGAAGGCTCCCGAAGTAATGTTACAATCCAGGTGGATGGTGTGTACTTTTATAATATCCACCGGTAAATCCGATTTGTGTAGGTTCTCGGATTCTAGGTATTTGTTTGTAAATCCCAACGTCTTACCGAAACTGTCTTCGGGTTCAAAGTCTACAGCGTATTTATCGCTGTATATTTCACACCTTAGAGTGTTATTGTTAGGTTTTAGAGAAAATATCTGGTCAGCGATGGGTCTTTGTCGATCTTTAATTCCTTTCTAATATGATTTTCAATGTCTATAACGACTTTCTTGTTTTTGTTTTTTTTGTTGCTCTCATACAAGTAAAACTTTTGATGGGCTTCGATGTTGGGTATGCTGTTGTACGAGTAAAAACAAAGAAGAGCCAAGCCGTAATTGAGTTGTGGATCCAAACGTATGATTGGGTTAAAATAGAGTGATAGCGTGGACGTATGACTCTTTAGCGCCACTATTGTAGACATGACTGACAAATTTCATCTGGTATGGTTGCTTTTATAGAGAAACTGTAGACATAGATGTCCGCAATTTATTTGATCATAATTTTGATAACGATCTACGTTATAGATTATGTTCACGTCGCTGGCTCCCAAGTATCGAACCAGTTTCTTAGGTGGTTTCAAATGGCCGAAACTGTCAAAGTACTCTACATCATTACCGTTTTTCTTATAAGCTACCCAGTGAGTGCCTCTATTCTTATTCAAGTCTAAATTTAAAATGGCACTTTCTCGCAACCGCGGACCTGTAGTTGGTAAGGCGTCTCGCATGAAAACGCCTCGAAAAAATGGAATTCGTAGTCGTTTTGCGTATCTAATCAGGTCCCCGTCAGACAGTGGTTTATTGGGTAGCTTTATTGGCAGTTTTTTTGTTTTTTCAAGAATAAACCGTAGCCACCGTGTCGATTCTTTCTCAAATAGAGGCCGGATCCTTTAGTCCCGATAGCTTCCATGGCTTCGTTGTGTCGACGCTCCTCCATGAGTTTTTTTGCTCCATTTTTAGCATCGATTACGGTCTTCGCAACAGCCCCCGCGCCCCCCGCTAGCGATCCGAGGGCTCCGAGGGCACCGAAGCCTCCAGAGTGTTCTCCGGCGGGGAGCAGTATGATTCTTGGTATGCGAATATTTTTCTTACCACCAACCCTTTTAACTGCTATTCTTGCCGCTTTTAAAGCCGATAGAGCAGTTTTTCTCAATGAACTACTAGGCTGCTGTTTTTTTAAACTGTTTGCGATTTTTAATACAACGTCTCTGCGGAACGATGCGGGTTGACGACGTCGTCGTTGTCCACTCTTTTTCAAACCCATTCCGAGATTACGTTTCGCCTTCATAGCCGTAGTTACGAACCAAGCGGCTGCTTTTTCTCCTAGTTTTGCGTCTTTAGATTTAACGCGTTCCCAAGCTCTATTCTCCAACACCCAATCGGCTTTATGTCTATCTTCTACAGACTTATTTCGAGCGTATGCTATATCGTGGTCACGGCAAGCGGAATCCAAAGGATTTATGCCCTTTTGACCTTTGGCTAAGCGTTTCTCAAGTTTTGTTCCTAATGAAGAGAAAAAACGTAGTTAAATTTATTATTAATATTATTTACTCTAGTTACCTGGTCCGCAGAATTGATATCCACCTGGAATATGTAATTCAAATGGTAGTTTATCTATTAGCGAATTTAACACACCTTCACCGTATCGCAGCGGCATTAGAAATGATGTAAGCCGATAGAGACACTTGTATTTATAGGAAGTAGCTTGACGGACGACTTCAAACCATGAAGGTAGTTCAACAAGAGCGGACGCTACCAATAGAAAACTTGGATTTTGATGAAAATCCTGCTATTGTAAGCAGACATGGTTCGTTGCTGCCGAATTCGTTTAGATGTGTCGTATGTGGTCCCAGTGGTTGCGGGAAGACCAACGTAATATTATCGCTTCTATTTCATCCGAATGGTGCCAAATTTGAAAACGTCTACGTCTACTCAAAGTCCCTATACCAGCCTAAATATCAGCTGTTGCGAGACGTCTTGAGTAAAGTGAAAGAAATTGGGTACTTTCCATATGGGGCTAGTGACGAAATAATTAGTCCAACAGACGCTCGGTACAATTCCATATTCATATTCGACGATGTGGCGTGCGATAAACAGGAAAAGATACGTG